GGATTGCACAGGCTTTAGTAGAAGATTAAACAACCCCAAAGCCCATAGTAGATGCATATTCACTCTTATTCCTTGTTTGATTCCTGCAACTTTCCTGACTCTCATCAGGGATAAAATGAGCTACTCACTCCTTATTTTAGGAATTGCATTCCTGTCCTCAATTAAGAAAAGGCTCACTCCTCCTGAATTTCTCTATACAGTACAAATAATCAAGAATCCATGGGATAAACATGTACCACATACAACACATGTACCAAATATAAACTAAATGAATTACTGGAAGAAAAAGTAAAGGGTCTAGAGGCAACTCTAGCCACTCTAAAACTCAACCTACAAAATGAGAAATTCCAACCTAGTACATTCTTCAATATCTTCATAAAAGATTTGGATGAAGGAATAGAAGAGGAATTAATGAAATTTACAGACAACACTAAACTGGCAGAAATAGCTAACACCCCAGAATATAAACTCAAGATCCAGACTGATCTCAACAGACTTGAACACTATGCCCTATCTAACAAAATGAAATTCAATGGAGAGAAAAATAAAGTTTTACACTTAGGCAAGAAAAACCAAATTTACAGGCACAGATTAGGTGAAACCTGGCTCAATAGCAGTAACTGTGATAGAGACCTTGGAGTCCTTAAATATCAGTCAGCAGTGTGCGGCAGCAGCCAAAAAAGACAATGCCATCCTAGGTTACATTAACAGAAGGATAGAATCAAGATCATGTGAAATTTTACTACTGCTTTATAAAGCCTCAGACCACAGAATACTGTATTCTGTTTTGGTCGCCTCATTATAAAACAAATGTTGAGACTCTGGAAAGAGCATCAAGGTGATTAGAGGCCTGAAGGCTAAAACATATGAAGAGCGGTTGCAGGAACTGAGTTTGTCTAGTCTAGTGAAAAGAAGGACTAGGAGTGACATGATAGTAGTGTTCCAATATTTGAGGGGCTGCAACAAAGAAAAGAGGGGTCAACCTAAAGCACCAGAAGGCAAGACAAGGAACAATAGATAGAAACTAATCAAGGAGAGAAGCAACCTAGAACTAAGGGGAAAAAAATTTAATAGTGAGAACAATTAGCTAGTGCAGTGATGGCGAACCTTTTAGAGACTGAGTGCCCAAACTGCAACTCAAAACCCACTTATGCATTGCCAGGTGCCGGGTGGGCATGGCTACTGAGTGGGCATGGCCACGAGCTGTCAGCTCATGCTCGCTTGCTGTCCAGTCCGACTCGTGCTCACTCTCTCACTGTCTGCAGCAAATTCTGCTTCCACCAAAAGTTGCTCCTTTTATAGCCTCTCGCCTATTCCCAGACTGCGCATGCGCAGAGAGGAGGAGGGAGCAGCTTGGCCCAGCAATGGCTCATGTGCCACCAGAGATGGCTCCGCGTGCCACCTGTGGCACGCGTGCCATAGGTTCGCCACCACGGAACTAGTGGAACAGTTTGCCTTCAGAAGTTGTTGGTGCTCTATTACTACGAGCTTTTATGAACAGACTGGACATCCACTTGTCTGAAATGGTATAGGGTCTCCTGCTTGAGCAGGGAGTTGGACCAGAAGACCTCCAAGGTCCCTTCTAATTCTGTTATTTTTTTATTCTGAATATACTCAAGGCTTTAAATCAGCATCTGGATTTTGGCAGATAAGGGTGCTCTTGCCAAAGTATGTTCAATTCAGATTATATTAAATTCAACTTGATTTCTCCCCAGTTTGAAAGAAGGACCTTAAACCTCTGTGTCTTACACTGAAATTCAAATTCAGCAAAAGTGGTTCCTTCTCATTCTTCCAATCCATTTATAACAGAAAAACTCTCATCACTAGTTCATCTTTTGCAAGCATTATTTTGGAATGTGTAATGAATAAAGATGGTTTCTGTTTAGAAATTTCTCTTTACTCAAATTTTTTTAAATAATCCGATTATCTATTAACCTATTTCCTCAGGAAAAAAAATTAAGCAAGCTGTGCTTTCCTCTAAATGTTTGTACTTTAAAGCAATGCAATACTATTAAAGTTATGTTGTGTGTCTTCTTCAATCACCTCTTGACACAATACAAAAAATAACAGCAAACATGCAAAAGTTATGTCATAAAAATCAAGTGTAAATATTATTACAAAAGTATTTTTAAAAACTCCTACCAAGCTATGTTGATGAAATAGTTTGGTATAAAACACTGATTATAGAAGAATTATTTCAGTCAAGTGTTAACTATATTTGAAATTCCCTTTAGATCCCTTTCTGATGCTGATTTTTTTGAAAGTCCCCTAATTCGCATAAGACCTATCCTTTATACCTGTTATATCCTTTATACCTGTAACCCGAAAGAGACTAACTAACTTTAAGGCCCACTAAATTTAGAAGGAATCCTTTTTGACTAAGCATGGAGACATAGGAACATACCGTATGTCACATAGATATATAGAGTTTAAGAAGAATTTGAGAATTACATAGAATAAATATTTTGTAAAAGAAATGCTGTATATACAACTAAGGGGCCTGGATAGTTTTGGGACAGAGTTTCTTCTAATCCTAGCCATAATAGCATTCTTCTTTCTTTACCTCAGGCAGAATAAGTTTTAATTTCACTATAATTAACTATTTGAGCTGAAAGGCTTTAAGCTAAGACAGTCAAGATAAGCTTTTAAATGGTAAATTGCCGTGCCCTCTGGTCACAATGGATTTTGGAGATTACAAACAATTAAATATGTACACTGTGTCCTAAGACAGTTCATGAGGCAGTTGAATTTGACATGGATATATCATTTTACAGTGTGTTTTCCATAATCTATTAAAAATGTCCTTAAATACCACTGGGGATATAAGTTAGCAAACCATGGCTCCCTATGTCTCTTCAGCACATCTACAATATATACTGACACCAAAAACACTATAAAGTAATTATCAAATTACTCTCAAGAAACTTAAAATAAAGTTTGAAATTCAGAGATCAGAATTCTGAACTGGGTTTCCAATACTACAGAAGCGTTCTTTTAATGCTCTTATCATTAAAAGTATTACAAGGGGAAAGGACTTACAAGGGTAGTATTGGAAACCCAGTTCAGAATTCTGATTCCTGAATTTCAAACTGTCAGTTTCTTGAGAATAGTTTTTTAAAAAGCTGCATAATAAACCAGCATCTCAAAAAAATGTTATGTAGCATTTCTGCAATTCATTGCAATATTTTACAAAGGACCTCTCTGAAACAGAATCTTGTGCTCTCCAGCCAAGCATGATATAGTTGAGAATTCGATTATTTCATTCTGCATCCACACATACAAGCTGTATCCACAAAATGGCATCTGTGCTGTCATCAGAAGAGGGCTTTGTGATTGAAGTCCAGGACCCCACAGCAGAAAAAACTCTAAAGACCCACTAAAAACATATATTTTAAGCAAGTGAAAATATTAATAACTCTGCAAAGAGCTACAAATAAAATAATTATGTCCATCTGTTTCTCTGCACTCTCAGATTAGAAACCCAATTTCCATTTTATCATCAATCTCCTTGCTTCCTCCTTCCATTATACATTCAAGATGGACAGTATTTAATATTTATTTGCTACGTATATGGTATGTAGAGATGTGGGTCTGTACATAAGTTGTTCATAGTATGTTTAGGTGAGTGTCATGTATGTGTTTCACTTTGAGAGCGGGCAACTAAATTTCATTTTTGATGTGTGCCGTTGTGCCCACAGTAAAAAAATGACAATAAAGGTTATCTTATCTTATGTATCTTATCTAATCCAACTTCCTACTTCCTTACTTTTTACTTGCAGTCTCCCAGCAAAACATATCTCTTCTTCAAATCCCTATTATTTTTGTTTAGTTCTCACCATTCAATTATTTCCATTTGTACAGTTAACACCACATCTAAATTCTCAGTTAATTTACTCCCGGGCTTTTTTTTTTTTAAACCAAATTCTCCCTGAATATTTGCATCAATTATAATCCTCTCATTAGCTAACTGTGCCCTGTTCCTTAGAATCTCCTCTTCCATTCTCTTCTCCTATTCGTTTTAGATTGGCTTTCCCTCCTGCTTTCCATTCTGTTCTCTCAGTCAGTAACCCCACATTCACATTATTGATCCAATCACCATTCTTTGCTCCCAGACTTCTATCTACAGGCTCCAGAGGTCTCTTCTACACACACTCCTAAATTCCTCACCCAAGTTGCTTCTCAGTTAAGCCAGCTTGCTTGAGCCACTTGTAGTCTCTGGTACTTAAAGAAGTACGTTATTCATATTCCCACCCAAACTCTGATATGTTTCTTAAGTTCCCACCAAACTACTCTATTCTCATTTTTTGCTCAACCATGCAGTAACTTAAATCCACAAAAACTCTGATATAATTCTCAAGGTCCCACTAAACTGATCTATTCTCAACTTTTGCCCAGCTCCCCATAATTTATTTTCTGTATCAAGAAAGACACAACAATGCAAAATCCAAAACATCATCAGGGTCTTCAGAGAATATTTTCTTCGCTTCATCTGACACTGCAAATGTTAAGAAAAAAGTCTTGTTGCAACCTTGAGCTCTGGAATTGCAGTATTAAATAATTACAATACACCTTGGCAGGCAAGTCACTTTGCTTTTCCTAATGTCAAGTCCAAATTTGGGAAATTCTCCCATGTAATTAATCTTAGAATTTAACTTAATTACCTCCGGAGATGTTGAGGCTCTCAATTTTGCCTTAAAATTCTTACCTACAATCTTAGAAGAGGACAGTGAGATTACTCAGCCCTGACACTTGGTTCAATAAATTATCATTGTTTAGTCCGGATCTAAGTCGTTTTGGGGAATAGTTAAGAGTTTGGAAACCCTTCATCCTTCCAGTTTGGGAGAAAGCACTTGGCACATACTCAGAAAGCCAGTCCTGAGTTGAAACAGGACTAGAAGGGTCATTCTTAGCCAAGGGTCCCTAACCTCAAGGTGCTCCTCGCTCGCTTCCCCGGAAGCCCGCCTTAGCCTTAGTCCACCCCGCGGAGACCCTCCACTCACCCGCCCCGGGGTGCTCGACGGTGGTGGCTCCGTACTCGGGCGCGTCGCTCCATCGGGCGCAGGTGCCCTGTCCCTGCACCAGCGCCTGAAGGGGCAGCTCAGCGCCGGGACTCGGGTAGCAGCGGAACCCGGAGACGCAACGTGGCGTGTACACCCCGCAGGGTTCCCCCTCGAAGCGGGCGCAAACTGAACAGCAGCCACAGCCGGGCTCCCGCACTAGCTCCAGGCAGGCGGCGGTCTCGAGTCCGGTGGCAGGGCAGGCGGCGAGGCGGTCGGCGGTGCAAGGCGGGCAACGAAACAGCACCTCGGGCAGCGCCAGTCCGGTTGGCGGCAAAGACGCCCACCAGCCCAGCCCGAGCCACAAGTAGGAGGAGGCGACGACCAGCTGCGGCAGCTGCACCATCCTGGCGGCGGCAACCGCTTGACTGAATGCCGGCTGGGCAGGTGCTGCTAAGCGAGCGACTGGAGGGAGCCCGGCACCGCTGGGTCCTAGAGGCAGGCGGACGGGCGACGCTCCACCCTCTCAGCTGGTGCGGCCTGCCGAGGGAGCCGCGCCCTCGCAGCCCCCCTCCCCCCGGCTCATCTCCTCGCGTGCTCCTGTCTAACCCTAACCCTAACCCTCCCCCACCCCTCCACCTACGTGGCAGGCATCAATTCCACAAGCGAGACAACCATTTATATAGTATATCCGGGCTTTCCCCCGGGAGTTTCTTCCAGGTTCGGCTGGTTCTCCCACGTAGGGGCATGACGAGAATAGTTTCGCCAAAGAGGTCCCCGGAGGAGAATTGGGACCCCGGTTCCTATACCCGTTTCATTAAGCTATTGTCGCCTGTTGGCCGTTCGAGCTGGGATTGACCCAGATATTCGCTCATCTTCTGCTAGTCTGAAGTTTTGATTTCATTTACTGTGCTTTCCTACAAAATTTATGTAGTCTACCTTCAGAGCATCCCCATGGAAATAAAGTGACCGAAAGCTACTTGTAAATCCCGGTTATCAAATAAATGTGCAAATAAATATATTTAGTTGGGGAACTAAAAGAAGAGCTTCTTGCTTACTCTTTTTTTGTTGTTGTTTTGTTTTGCATTGTGCTGTTAGGATTTACTCTGGTTGGGGGGGTCTACGTAGGACTTAATTTTTTGAGGAAATACATTTTTTTAAAAAACTTAGTTGTCATCATAATCATCTTCATCATCATTATCTTCATTTGAGCTGGGCTTTTACCTCCTTTAAGGAACAGTGCCATCAAGAGGTAATTTATGAGATTATAAAATGTGAAATCCTAAACCACTTTGGAGCCTTGGCCCCAGTCAGTTGATGGAAATGAGCATAAACACAATAATGGTTGTTACCAGCTTGTAGATATGTTTTGTAACCTTCGGTGGCTTACATTGGAAAACTATACGCTTCTTATGGTGATGTCCCCACCACAACAGCATGTAGGAGATTAAAGGGATGGTGGCAGAATCAAACAGTTTGAGCACAGTCTCTGATATCCTTTGACAAGGACAGACCTGGTAGTAATTCTGAGTCCTTTCTTGAGATGATATATAAACAAAGTGATAATGGGCAATATGTCTAGGCAGATTACACTGACATGTGAAGGACCACATGCCTTCTTGGAGAAAAAAAAAAGATTGTTTCCTTTATGTTTATTTTATTTTTAAATTTTTTATGCTGCCCATCTCCCCTAAAAGGTGACTCTGGGCTGCTTTCAGGCTATATTATACCAATCACACTTATAACCTGTGAGTCCTTTATGTTAATTCTAAATATTTGAAAGTGTTTGATTTTTCTCTTTAAAGGTTTAAAGCTCATAAAATGATGGAGAAACATCTCCACATCATCCATATCCCACCTTGTCAGCTTTTTGGGGATGGAAAAGATAGATCTGCCCCTCCAAAAAAGAGCAACACTTTTATTTCACACTCAGTCTCTTGATAATTCAGCCATTCAGCATGGGCCGCACCCAATCATCTTAAGAAACACCACTAGCATTATAGAAGACTGGAAATAAATGTGCAACTTCTAAAATACCTCCTGGAAAATACTCTTTTAAAAAAGAATTCTAAAGTTCAAAACTAAGCCATAATAATTCCTGCTCCCAAACCAAACACACACATGGCTTTGAAAATACTTTAAGCTGTAATTAATGCCTCAAGCAATTAAGAGAACTTGCTTAAGCTCTGTTAGAGAAATATCAGATGATGATATTAAAAAGAATATTGAATCCTAAGGCTATGCAGCACTTTGGATTCAAAAACTAAAAGGGCTTTTGAACTCCAGAAATGCAAACACTGCATCTAATAGGGCCTAATTCTTTTAAATACACTTACCAGGAAAAAAAAAAAACACCTGCTGGAAGCCTGATTTTATTGTTCCATTTCACTGGTGTTAATTATAGCCTAGAGAAATCTTTTAATAATCCAATCCTATGTAAGCTCACCCAGAATAACGTTCCATTGAGTTTACTCCCACTCCCAGGTAAGTGGGTATAGAATTGAAGCCTAAATTAGTAATGCACTTGTCAGAATATAGCCCTGATTTAAACACGACATGGCAGATAAGCAAATTCTGTAAGTGGGATAATTATAGGTCTCCTCAACTCTTCTCAAAAGGGGGCAGGAGTGGCACTTTCCTGAGTTTGCTATTTCAGTTCCTGGTAGTACTTCCATGGATTATACTCTGATTATACTTCAGAGCACTATTTCAAATGCTAGCCTAGATTAGATAGATAAATAAATAGATAGATAGATAGATAGATAGATAGATAGATAGATAGATAGATAGATAGATAGACAGACAATACATATATACCTCTTGGATATATATATATATAGAATTAAATTGGGAGACTAAGATGACCATTTCGAGCTCATTTGCTCTCTTCAGTTAGCCACACCCTTTATGGGATTCAAACCTGGGCAGTTTACATGCTAGGCAGTTACTTAACCACCAAGCCATAGGCTTTCCTCCGCTCTTTGCCAGCCAAGTCAAGAGAGTATATACAGGAAGTTTTTCAGACAGACCTGTCTGATTGACTACACCTTGGCATTTTGACTGCTATACTGCAGTTCTACTTTTTACAATTTCTTTTGCCTTGTAGCCCCCAACTAGGGGCGATAAGCAGGCTCAAGTCGCAACTGCGAAACATTTACAAATCCAGATTTCCTTTACTGACAAAGAGTTAAAGAATTAAATTGGGAGCCATTTTGAGCTCATTTGCTCTCTTCAGTTAGCCACACCCTTTATGGGATTTGAACCTGGGCAGTTTACAAGGCAAAAGAAATTGTAAAAGAAATTTAGATTTGTAAATGTTTCGCAGTTGTGATTTGAGCCTGCTTATCGCCCCTAGTTGGGGGCTACAAGGCAAAAGAAATTGTAAACAGTAGAACTGCAGTATAGCAGTCAAAATGCCAAGGTGTAATCAATCAGGTCTGTCTGAAAAACTTCCTGTATACACACACACACACACACACACACACACACACACACACACACACACCTCTTGGATGTAGAGATATATAGATGATATAGATATATACACACTCTTGGATACATCTCTCTCTCCCTCTTTCCCCCCTCTCTCTAAATAGGGTTTAATTTTAACTACTCCTTTTTATAATACATGCAATTAATATGACCAAACAATCACAGAACCTTGCAGATCTGTTCCTTTTTATTTCCTAATTTTTTAGGGTTTTCCTTACTGCAATTGGTCTACATATTGAATGATCTCTTCGCAAGGAAACAAAGCATATTTTTAATGAAGGAAATTAAAGCATTTTTCCTTGTTCCAAGTGATAAATGAAGTTGAAGTTAAAATATTAGATAAATTGAAGTAGGCAGATTGATAGATGGATATTCTGATGGATTTCTTTTATTTATTTATTACTGGCACAACAAACTCCACAGAATACAATAATGCTTCTTGGCAAGACCCTTTAGAATTAAGTTCTAAGGCAGGGGTGTCAAACTCGCAATGTTACGTGACATGTTGTGACGTATCCAGTGGTGGGATTCAAATATGTGAACAACCGGTTCACTGTGTGGATGCCACTTCTGGAGGTCCATTCTAGGCCTGGGCAACAAAAAATTAGCTACCAGTTCTGCCAAAGTGGTGCGAACCGGCTGAATCCCACTACTGGACGTATCATGACTTTTTTTTGCCATTGCCGGCAATGGGGTGGGTGCGGTTTCGTTATGATGCATCCGGCCCGTGGGCTGGTAGTTTGACACCCCTGTTCTAAGGTGTCTCAGAGTACATGTTCATCCCAAAAATGTGTTGTTAGAACCAGAACCGTGTTCTTAGTTATTTTAATGCAGGTAGATATACCAGGTTTTTCTTCAAATTTTCTTAGGGCCATTAAATCAGAGGAGGGGGTGATATAGTAATTACTTATCCTGAGATTTACTGGTAATTTCTAATTTAGCTTCACCTACCCCTGAAGCATTCTAAATACATTTTTTCCCTTCTGAATGCTGCAAAAAATTAGAAAACTACAACTAATGTTTGCTTTGACTTCACATGATGAGGATTTGAGAGTAAGCCAGGACAGGTTCCCTGAAAGAGAAGTCCAAGTGTTGATGGGCTGGTGAAGAATTCTGAAGCCCCCTTTTCATAACTGGAAACAAAAGTTACTTTTCAAGTGTTGGTGTGTTAGGATAGGCATAGCTCAGAGGCATTGAGAGGGATCTGAAAGAGGCTGTTCTCCTTAAATCAATGGGGTGTGGCAGTTCTTTTCCTGTCATTCACGTGAATCTGCTCTCATGTCACGGAATGTTTAATCAGCTTTTGGCTGGGCAAATTAATGAAATGGAATAAAGCACAGGAACAAAATACAAAATTAATGTCAGCAAGCAACTTCTGCTAATTAAATTGTCTAAGTCTGGGCAACTGACTATTTTACTGATTAAGTAGTTACAGAGCCTTTGATATAAACATATTAATAATGTGCAAAATGTTTTGAATTCATAGCAAATTGGAGACGTGCTTTTTTTTAAAAAAGACAACAGAATCTGAAAAATAATAAAGCAGGGGTGTCAAACTGCCAGCCCACGGGCCAGTTTCATCATATCGAAACCACGCCCACCCTATTGCCGGCAATGCAAAAAGAGTCACGATACGTTGTGACACGTCATGTGAGGTAGCGAGTTTGACACCTGTGTAATAAAGTGAAGAATGGCAGGACCTGAAATCATACCTTTATCACTGACCGTTACTAGATGATTCACCAGAAGCAGGGGTCATATATAATGCCCACATATCACAAGCACTCTTATTAATGGACAGTTTAATTCTGTCATTAACCAATCAGGTAAGGAACTCATTCAGGAATTTATCTGCATAGCATTTACTAAGCTATCTTGTGATCCACACTTGCCTGATGAAGGCTGCTCTCTGAGCATACCTATGCATCTGAAATAACTTCCACTGACTTATTTCACATAATATATATGATTGAGTTAAGT